ACAAAAAAATAAATAATAATAAATTTGCTGAAAAATAAATGGTCATGTACAAAATTGATAGGAGGGGGGAGGGGTGGATGGGGGGGTCCAAAAATCGTATACTAGGAATATACCGAGAAATTAAATTCTAAAAATCTCATACCGGAACAGCAATATTTTCCTCATCATCTTGTTCTTCAGCCTCGAAATTTGAGATCATAAAATGTCCAGAATGAATAGCTTCCTTGTGTCGCACAACAGCCATTGTTTATTCTGAATCAAAAACTAGAAATAGATAATATGAAAATTTTCCATCAAAATCAATACAGATCAAACAGACTCCATTTTATTTCATCAGGTGAAATCAACATTCTTAAATGTAAATAGAAATTAAATTAAATGTATTTATAACTTATAAATAACAGTTTTCAGGACAAAATTCCAATACGCAAATTAACAATGGCCAATTGAAAGATTGTGTACAGAGTTGTCTATGTAAGTGCGTATGTAGAATCAGCTGATAGTCAAACTTGTTTTTATCTTTCTATCTTCTACTTAACTATCTATCTATCTCATCAGATCGTCTTTGCTAGAATTCTTGTTTGGTCATTTCTATCGGAGAAGCGGGGGAAGGTAGGCGGCCATGAGCCACCACTACTTCCCCTTCCGTGGCACATATTAGCTTTTTTTTACTTCCGGCAGCCGTGAGCCACCACTATTTCCCCTTCCGTACCACGACATTTGACTCTTCCGGGCAAAACTCCTTCTTTATATGGTATATTTAGGGCCTTTACAGGGTGATTTTAAAAAATCCAACCTCGTCACACGAGGGAGGGAGTCCAGAGTTCCTCAAATAGTAATCACCGCCACCCAAATCTGTTTTGCGGCAAGCGCGCTCCCCAATTGGTAATCTCCACCAATTAGTTCTATATAATTAGTTTTGTTGTTATAGATGTTGAACTCAAGTAGGCGAATACAAAAATCTAAACACTGTAAAGGTTTTATGAAAATATCTTTTAAATGGAGATGGATATTACTTTGGGTGGGATGAGATAATTTTTAGTAAATTTTAAGTCCTTTCTATGCATATAATTAGTTTTGTTGTAGATGTTAAACTCAAGTTGGCGAATACAAAAATCTAAACACTGTAAAGGTTTTTTGACAATATCTTTTAAATGGAGATGGATATTGCTTTGGGTGGGATTAGATAATTTTTAGTAAACAGGCAGCCCGACCTTTTTTGTATCTTGACGCCAATCATGAAATGCAGTCATTAAAGTGGCGAATTGGATCTAAGATTCGGCTAAAATGAACTGTGCCTTGATTCTCAGTTTTTGTTGACCAAACAAATCTGAAAATAATTTGAAAATTTAGTTTAAGTCAATACAGATGCCATAAAACCCCGATAGATGTCGAAAATTGTGTTAAAAGTGCATTAAATTCAAATCACAGAAAACAAAATTTTACGGTGATTACTAATTGAGGTGGTGGAGATTACCAATTGAGGAGCGCGCTTGCCGCAAAACAGATTTGGGTGGCGGTGATTACTATTTGGGGAACTCTGGAATCCCTCCCTCCTCCGAAAGCCTTATAGGGTGTAAAGCTATAAGTGCAAGAACGTTAAGTCTGCTCTCTGTCATAGTACATCTTGTGTAATGAAGTATTCTCTATAGAAGGCTAAAACTTTTCTCTCCTTGTATCAACAATGAATTTAGACAAATCCTTAGTCTTTGTCATTGTCAGGTGTTACTTTCTAAACGTAGTTTCCTTTTGATTTTGTATTTTTGGAACTCCCAGGGAGGGCAAGAGGACTACTGCCCCCCCTAGGTACACCACTGTGCCTGACCTGAGGAAGGGAAATGCAAGCAGATGTAATATTAAAAGAGCCTCCCCCATGGATGCCCCCCCCTCAGCCTCTCAGGGGGGGCATGCGTGGGGCGGCGGGGCGCCCCCCTCGTACGCCCCTGCTAGCATTCTCATTTTTGACATTATCATCGTGAAATGGTGTGACTTTTAATGAATAGTAACGCTAAAGATTTTTTGTATTTTATTTTTTCAATGCAAAGGATTGGGTAGAGCGCGGAAAAAAGTCCGGTCTTTGGAAAATAAATCTAGAATTGTGACTAAAGCTAAATATCTAAAAACTATATTTATGAATCGCCCTTGAAAAATGGATACAGAAACATGTGTCACACTTTAATATTTGTTTAATACAAAAAAATATTTTTTCCTCTTTCTGACCCTTTTTTGGCGTTTTTTTAACCCTCCCTAGCTATTAAAGTTATTGGTCTAATCTTTTTTCAATGAGCTGGCCTTGGCAAATTGGGCTATGCACATGCATTTCAACCCTATACCTATTTTCGAAGGCCATTTCTTAGGGGGGTACAAAACGCCCAACCACCCCCTAGGCTATGCATAGATTCAGACCCTCTAGCCATATTTATAGGGTTAAGAAAATTACATAAATAATTTATTAACACTTGTAATATGGAAGTATGTATATGATCGAATAGTTAAAAAGGTATGAATATTTTTTCAAGGGGGGGGCACAAAATTTTTTTTGGCGTGCGTCAGCCCCCCCCCCCCTGCAGAAATGCTTTTGCATGCCCCTGGTTCTAAATCTCAATAAAAGTAGACTTTTTAAAACAAATTGTTTATGTACCATAAAAACATCATGTTTCGAGACTTTTCGAAAAAAGACTTTTTTTTGAAAATCGATTTGCTAGACGTGAGATAAAGTGGTGGAGCCTTGCAGATGTAGCATGAGGCTCGGAGACGATTTTGATTGGCTAGAAGTTGGCTTGGAGACCATTCTGCGAATCAGAGGCTCTAGAGGTCAGTTTGCGGGGCTCATGGATACTCTGCACCCCCTCCCTCCCCATTTGCCTATATTTTTTGGGAGAAAAAGGAAGCCCCCTCCCTATAATCATAGACCTATAAATACAGAACTTTTGCTATACTGTGAAAATTAGTAAGAAAAACAAACAATTATATACATTATTAAACCAAAAATATGTAGGGTAGTAACTAATTTGATAAAATTAACCAAACCCCAAAACAAGGGCATATAAAGGGGGGAGGCAAGAGGGGCAGTGCCTACCCCTAGAACTCAGAGCTATCACACTTTTCAAATCTTAAACTAGAGAGTGAAGAACATAGAAAATTAGTTTTCTGTTTTAATTCCTCCAATTCAGAACAGCAATATAATATTTTGTAGTGCTGTTATAGCTATTTTATAATATATATCATTGTATAGTGTTGCTGTATACCTTAATTTTCCCTTTTAAATTCACAGAGTACACAGAGTTGAGTTGAGTTCACAGAATTTCAATTTCAAAATGTCTTTTACTAACAGAACATATAATAAAATGTAGATTTTTTAAAATCATGTTTTTTCTGCTAGTTTTCTTGGAAGGAGAGATAATGTAGTATTTGCAAGGTAATTGGACTATGTGTACCATCAAAGTATATCTTCTCTACTTTTTTCGAAGGCCTGATCCAAGAAGCCAAATGTTTTGAATTTACAGTTCAAATTTTGCCTCCCCCTAGGAGCTCCTATAGGAGGGAGGGGGGGGGGGATCTGCTTTTGCTTCCCCCTAGATTTATTTCTGTATACGCCCAATTGCCCCAAAATAGTGAAAAATGGAAATCAAACCTAACCAAGCCAAGCAGGGGGAGGCCGGTGGGAGGGCTCAAAAAACTATGAAAGGAATAAGACATTTTGAAAAGCCCAACTAGCATAAACACAGCAACTGTGCACTGCAGGCCCGAAGACAGGGGGGAGGGGGGTGCGAGGGGTCAGGTGCACCCCTCTTCTCCTAAAATGGGGGTGCACCGACGAATTTTCATCCCCCCCCCTTTAGATAAGTTGCTTGGTATAATCTCCTCTTGAAAAATTGAGATAATAGTATTCAAAGTTTTCAAAAATTGTATCATTCAAAGTTTAAGCAAGAAACTTTAAGAAAAATTGTTATTCATTCATGGAAGCCTGTTCTTTTAGGGAGGTAGCAGGCATGCCTTAAGCATGATGCGGTAGACTTGCATGCCACTGTTTAAAATATGCAGAATGCATAGATTGAATTGCAGTTTAAAATATTTAAAATGTCACCAAATTCACTAAACTTCTGATGCTGAGCTTTACAAACTAAACTATAATTTTATCAAAACTTTGAACTTTGATTGTTTTTACTAAAAACAACTAGTTTCATATTTTGCAGATCATCAAAAATACTGTTTCCGTGGGTTGACAAATAAATTGTTTTCTTAAACAGAGATTAATGGCTTGACCAATTACAAAATCTCTATAAAAAATATTAAGAATTTAGAACAAATAATCTTTTA